TTCAGAAAAATCCATACCTGAGCAGCCTTGGTTGGGAAATCTATTCAAAGGAGGTTTTCTGGCAGGAATCTTCCCCCATCATTTTAGTACGCATGTCCTTAGCAGGTCCCCATCTTCCTTCTCAATGTCAATGAGACCAACTGTGTAGCCTTGGAACCAAAAGGTATTACCCCCCTACATGTGTCAAATCCAATACTGAGAGTACAATTGCTTTGGGAAATAACATAAAGGCAAACACTGTCATTGAAGCCAGTATGGATTGTGCATTGTGTGAATGCAGAGATGACCGCTGAAAAAAACTGGTTACAGGTACACAACTTGACTTTATTCTTTCCTTTTGGCGTCAGGCGAAAACCTTTTTATTCTTCCAGTATTTTAATTATTACCCTGTTTTATTTAGTGGTTTTAACATCGAATGCGGTGCAACTGTTATTTCTATTTTTATTCTTATTTTATTGTATGAATTAGTTGTAAACCATCCTGAGACATCTGTGAGGGAATGGTATTAAACGTTTTAGAGAGAGAGATAAATCAGTAAATATTCTTAATGGTTTCTGTGCATCCCACATATGGACAATTAACAAACTGATTAACTGGAGGTGGGTAGGTGTTGTCACATCAGAATTCATGAGAGCACTGCACAACCAGAGGAGCAAATGCTCTTGCACGTATGCCAAAGTGGTAATGGCACATGAGGGTTGGTGGCTCAGACCAGGGTTACTCCTTTTGCAAAGGCAAAAGGGGTCACAGGTCCTCGTGGAATGTGCTCTTGTGCCATTTACAGAAGGAATAGGAGAATAATGGACTAGTGGTGATTCTTCGGCATATAGAGAATGCTTGGCCCCAGTCTTTTGTGTAGGCTGCTGTGATTCACTCCCTAGGAACTGGTCCATGAGAAGAATTTGATTGGAGAAATGGGTAAGATCCTCTGAAGGAGATGTAAGGTCTCATTTCCTGACATCTGCATCCAAAGAAGGGATGGGAGATGCCACCAAAGAGCAAGAGGTGCAATTAGATAGGCAATGCTCTATTTCTGAATAGAGTGGTAATTCCAGCAGGTGGGATCCTCGTGTAGCCAGCTGTAGAACCTGACAGGGTGACAGGTAACAGATGGGGATTGTCACATGGTGCCACGCACAATGGGTGATACCAAAGGCGAGTGGTGCAAAATCAGTGCAGACAGAGGGTTTGGAATGCATCCTCCTGGGGTGGACACAAGAGCATAGCTGATGGAGGCAGCCATCCATACCATGGTGCGTATCCTGGGTATTTGTACCAGACTTGCTTGTCCCAGTGAGGTTGTCTCTCATCCCAGTAAAAAGAGTAATGAAAGGAAAGGGGTTTGTCAACCTGCCTACCCTAGTCTGAGAGTGTTGACTGGAAACAATGTCATCATCCTAAGCATACAAAGAACAGATAGACTGCAATCATCAGGAGGGGCCCCAGCTGCAGGTGGGGTACAGGGTGCGGCTGTGAACAGAGGACTACCACTCACAAGCCCCCTTACCAAAGTTGGAGATCCAGGATTTCAGCTGGCCAAGGTTACAAGAACCAGGGCCATTTTAAGGTGCTCCAGCAAGTAAACCTAGTTACATACAAACTATCTCTTATCCTATCTTCCTCATATCCCAACTAAAGAACCCCTTTCCCATCAGTCTCTACAGCCTCCACCACTTTAGGTCCAGAGTGATGACAAACGCATGTTGCCAAGATTCTGGACTCCAAACTATACCAAGGCAAAATCCATTATCTGGTAGAGGGATATAGTCCTGACGGCCACCGGAGGAAACCTGTTAAAAATGTTCATGCCCCAGCTAAGATCCAAGTCTTCCACAGAACCCACCCAACAAACCCAGACCATGAATGGGGAAGGCACTCCTCTTTTCTCGCGTGAGGCGTATGGTCAGGATCTTAGCAGTTCCAGGACTCCATTTCTGGTCAGAACCACAACCCCCACCACAGTATGTGCAGGATTGGCCCAAGACCCTGCTGGCGCTCTAAGCTCCCTGTCGAGTGCCTGGTGGGAGGCCTGGGTGGGGTGAGAGCTATATAAGAGCAAGCGCTTTTGTTCAGGTGCCTTGGCAACACAGGTTTTCTTGCTTTCTGTTGAACAATCCAGTGCATGCTTCGTGCCCAATCCGGTACCTGCCTTGCCTCATTTTGTGTCACCCTTCCTGCCAACCTTTCCTACTTCCTACACCTTTGCTGCCCTTGAATCCTGCCTCAGGAACTTGCTCCTTGCTGTGTTGTCCTCTTGATTATTGACCCTCGGCCTGTTCATCGCTATGTTCTTGTTTTGTTGAGTGTATACATGCATAATTAACTTTGTCCTGTTCCTTGACTCTGATACTGCCTCTGGCTTCACTGCTGGACTTTCAACTGTGTTTGGACTCTGTCTTGCTACATTTGCATTGACTCCTGCTGCCCATGCCCTGGACCTGGAGAAAATGATAGTAAAAGGGTGAATAAAACTTCAGTAGTTGGAGAAGTCCAGACTTACTGCTTTGTAATTCACACATGATCCTGCTATGTACAGAACAGAAAAATATTCTGTGAAGGGGTGGGGTGGTAGCAGAAACAACAGTGTACTGTACCAATGCCTCTGCTGAAGCCTGCCATTGCTCAGGGAGTCTGAGATCCATATATACCAGGGGTTCTCAAACTTTTTCAACAGGGGGCCCAGTTGAAAGGTGGTGGTGGCGGCGGGCACGGGCCGGTGAGGCAGGGGCACACACGTGCATGGTGAGGCAGCAGCTTGCTTGCTCGGACATCTCCAAGCGAGTCCAAAACTATCTCCGAGCGAGCAAGCCACTGCTTCACTGCATGTGTGGCGAGGCAGAGATGAGCACATGCACGGCGAGGCAAACAGCAGCGGCCACAGGTGTGGGGAGTCCAAACCTCTGAGGTGGGCTGGATAAATGGGCATGGTGGGCCGGATCTGGCCTGCAGGCCATAGTTTGAGGACCCATGGTATATACCCTCTTCTCATCTAATTTCAAAGTAGCTACCTGCTTTTTCATCTCTGTCCCTACAACTCATGACTTCTGGCTGCAGAACTACTCTCTTCCTGCTCCATAGAACTATCCCTGTATCTGGCCATTGGTATGATCTAGGCAAGATGAGGAACTTGCACTCATTTTGAAAGCACAGAAGTTCTCCCAAGGAAGTAGTACATGTGTCTGACAGATTAAAACTTCTATAGCCAGAGAAACAGAAGTATCCTTTTAGGTTATCATCTTCAATGTCAAGAGTCAGTATGGTATCCTAGGATCATCATCAAATAGCAGCATTTTTACAAATGAGACATTTTTATTTCTTTTGCCAAAATGATGGGTGGGGGGTAGTGCTTGGGACAGGATTTGTATGAATGATTGTGATATGAAGCATAAAGCAGCACTTTAAAAAAAAAACTTCAGCTGGTAAAGTGTCAGTTATGATGATATGGAATGAAACCATGTGTGGAGATGTTATATACAAACAGCATCTCTCTGCAGGATCCCTGTGAAGGAACAACCACCCAAGGTGAAGGACAGACCTTGTCCTCATTGCAGCACATGGTAACCATTTACCAATAGGGACACGTACCTGCTAAACCTGCTTCTTGCCACTGGTGAACATAACCATTAAAAACTGACCATGCAAGACCTGGTATTAATTTATTTCTTGAGCACACTCTTATGCAGCGTGAGCATGAGTTGCATCAGCAACTCAACATTATTTGTTCAGAGAAATGTGGCTAAAGGTCTCCCCCTCTGATGGTGGTTTTGTAAGTCCCACATTGAAGGCATATACAGTAAAACCTTGGATTGTGAGTAACTTTTGCAAGAGTCTGCAAGTGTTTTGCAAGATGAGCCAAGTTTTTCTAGATTTTAACTTGATAAACGAGCCATGTCTTGCTGTATGAGTATTACATGTGCTTTGCCTGTGGAGTGTCACATCACAACTGAACACTGGTTCTCTCTATGAGTACAGCATCGTCTCCCCCTGCACGACTGCGCCTGCCATCACGCCCGCTTCCCCCCCCCCGCCCCGAGCACGCCTGCTTCAAGTTTTTGTGATTAAAAAAAAAAGTTGCAGAACAGATTAACCTTATTTACATTGAACCTTATTGGGAAATTTGCTTTGATATACAAGTGCTTTGGATTACAAGCACGTTTCTGGAACGAATTATGCTCGCAATCCAAGGTTTTACTGTACAATGTTTTTTCTACCACAGGCAGAGCTAGAACATCTACAGCTTGGCAGAAAAATGAAACTTTGGTTGAACCATTGACATACTTCAAATTCCTTTCATTTATGGTTTGCTGTGTGGCATTGTAGAAAGCTGCCTGAGAACCTGAACCCCCTTAAACATGCAGGGCTAGTTGTGCAGCATTTCTGGATTCCAGCCTATGTTTTTTCCAGCCATAAGAAAATGGAGTCTCACAGTTTTTATTCCAAAGTCTAGATATAGGTTTGTCACCAGTGCACACACAGCGATGACACCCATATATCCAACTGTGACTGCAGTTGCTAGGCTACATGTCTACAGCAGCAGACCAGCACAGCTACTGTTTTTGTAAGAGCTCTGGAAGGGCAGTTCCTCAACAAGCAAGGGATGCATGCAAAGAAATGACCCCTTGTAAGACTTGTCCAGGAGTTGTAAAGATGTTGGATGTTACTAAGCAAGTTACAAAGTCATCTCTCTCTCCTAAAGGCTACATTTTTGCACATTTATTTTTTCAAAGCTTAAGATAAACAGTACGCTACTGAGACACATTTTAAAAACTGTTAACCGCAGCAAAAAATGCTACCAGCCACTGAAGCAACTATCATTCTGAAAAGCTTTTTTTTAAATCTTCTGTTTGGCAGGCAGTGCCCCCTCCTTCTCCAGCACTGGGTCACACATCTCCTGTTTATGCAGTGTGGATGTTAGCACATGAAGGAAATAAAGCCACCTTTGACAATGAGCAGTTTAATTTAATACCCAAAACAGTTAATGTGAAGTAAATGAGAAGTTCTTTGTTCAGTTTTGAGGATTTATTACTTTTGCCAGTAGTTTCCAGGTTAATATTAGCAATAAGGACATCATGCTAATGTGAGTGGAAAATTATTCTGAAAAGACACTATTTAAAGTATGATTAAATTCATTCTGCAGAAAAGGTATTCTGTAAACTTTTCTTTAAAAATCATATACCATTACATAACTAAAATCAGTTTGTGTAATTTGAAAAGGCTTTATAAATGCAACTCTGATTTTAGAATTGTTGCAGCACATATACTTTAATCAAAAGTAGTAACTAGGAACTTTACAGCTTATATTCCAATATAATAATACTACTTGTCATTTAAGCTTAAGTGGGAAATATCCATCATAAATGGAATTGTACATTTTACTTTTGTATGGAAACTATGGTTTAAGATCTGGAACAGTATACAATTTCTTTGCACATGCTACCCACAAGGCAATTCAAACACTTGTAGATAACAGTTACACAAGTTAATAAGTTCTACATAATATACTAACACGTTACTTTTAGGAGTCAAAGAAAATTTTGGTGTTTAAACACATTCATTTATTATAAAACAAACTTAAGTTAGATTGAGACAAGAAAACTGAGCAAGTAGTTTAGTGCCTGCAAACATATTGTTTCAGGTTTGTAAATAAAGATGGAAGGAGCCCCTAAGGCGTTGTCCTCTGCTCTACAAATGGGAGGAAGTAGAGAAGCAAAGCTTTAAGGTATATGGGTTAGAGCCATCTGTAAGATACAAAAGGAAACTCAATGGTTAGAATGAGTATTTTGCTCTTTATATCTACACATTTGCGAAATGGGATTTCTTATAACAAGTGCTTAATTCCTGTGAGAAAAGCTTCTGTGAAATATTAGGCTCTATGTATCAAAACCTAGCCCAACTCCATTTTACAGTCTAAAAGTAGCAAATTACCTTGAACTGAGGACTTAGCAGTTTGATGGATAAATACAGTTACTGCGCCTTCCCTTATGGTTGCACTTCTATCACAGCATTCAAATCACTTTACCATTTATCAGAGGGGTGGGGGACCCCCACCAAAAGATAAGAGTGCATCCATTCCTATTTCATTCCACTGTTAGGGTTGGTGTGGTTACATAAACCAGGTCCCACCTGAATATTGTTTTGAGGCACACTTCTGTGATTACTGTGCTTCCCAGACAATTTTAAAAAATGCAGAAATATAGGCACCTAGGGATGCTGTAGGTGGAGTAGGTGGCACATAAATATTTTAAATAAATAAATAAATATGCAATTTTATTGGTTGGGAAATAAATGGTGGGAGGAACTGTACACTTGCAGCAACTTCTTCAAAAAGGAACTGCAAAAACTATGGGTGGGAGAATCTCTCTTTTTCCAAGAGTTGCTGGACAGTTATCTTGAAAAGGTGGAGGACACTCAGTAGTATAATTTCAACATTTAAAAAGCAAGAGGAACACATTGCTAAGGGAGAGGGAGCAAACCACTCCCTGCTTTTGATGCCTCTTCTTTTGCCACTTCCCCTCAATCTGCCAGCAGTTCTCAACTGACAACTTGGCAGTTGGACCCTGACAACTGTATGCAAATTAACAATAATGGCCTCAACTGCACATTTTTGAGGCACTTTGTGTTTTTTAGAAATGCAGTTTCTGGCATGGGGGGGGGGGTTGAGGAATCACTCGAGAGAGTGCAAAAAAGCAAGTAGCATGGGCTTTTTCCCTCTCTTGCTGAGTAGTTCTTCACAACAGCCCATGAAGGCTCCCTCTGGGTTTGAACAATGCAGCAAGCTATTATGGGCAAGCCATGGGTTCTCGGGATGGCTTGTTTACGAAAAGTAGGCCACCCAGCAGAAACTGCATAGGTGTGGATGACGTTATTCCACCATGGTTGATTATCCATGCTGTGCAGTTGTGTCATGCATACTGCATCAACAAAACTGGGTGATGCACAAATCAACAGGTAACTTTCATTGGTTCAATCATGAAATTATTGACACATAACCAGGCCTGAGAAAAACCCTCTTTTCTAGAAATCTGCATGTGTGCATCTTTGAAATGTACTGACACTGACTAGGCACTATTTCAGAGAAAGCTAGTTGGCACTGGACAGATAACAGCAGCTCAAACAAAGGGCAATTCACACCAGCCCAGACCATCCTCTCCCTCTTCTATATATTAGCACCCCACCCGACTTCAGAGCATCTTCTTTGATACGCAGCCAGGAAAGATCATGCCATTGTAACTTTTTACTTCTGTAACTGATTTGAAAATGCTATCTGTATTACATGTAACCTTTAGAAATCAACGTATAAAAGGGCCAACTGAGGACTGCTCAGGTGCACCATTGAATGATTCACTGGTGGTTGGTTATTCAGGAGAATAAATCCTTTAAAAGGAAACCTTCCCCTGTTGTGCATTGTGCGCATACGCACACCAGGACACAGACCTTTTGGTCAACACTTGGTATGCATTAACTGTTACAATTGCCACTATATGGTACCATATACATTTGTCTACTCAGGGCCAGAAAGAGAATCATTAACCTAATGAGAGGCTTTCTTTTCCACTTGAGAATCAATCTAATATGCTTATTTGCACAATTACTTGTAAATAGAACAACTCAAACTCATTTCAACCTGTACACACTAACTAAGGACTTCTTTGTTCTCTGGTTTTCAATGTGGTTTGGCTTTAACAGACTCCATGTGGACTGTTGGTTTCTTAGGTGGCAGAAAAATTTATCTGATTTAGAGCTGGATCTTTGAGGACTAGAGTCTGACTTGTAAACAGTACTTTGTGCTGTTCTTATTTCTAGCTACATTAGAGAAAATGAACTATTAAAAGCTGTATTTTAGAATAAAGAAAAGGTTTTTAAGGTGTGCTGAAGACTTGTAAGACTGTTGTACAGAGACGAGCATGCAATTGGAACCATGCTATATTTTCAACCATATGCTTTGCTCAGTCCTATGGGAAAGCTCATATACAGTAATGCAACAAAACAGAAACAGGCGTGTGTTGTAAAACATACAAGAACCTTCAGCAAGAAGTTCTGATTGACCAGTAAGCCCTGTGTCATCAGAGTATTATGTCCTGCAAATATTATGTTCCTGTCTAGCATTTAAATGATAAGAAATAACAAGCATGCTGATTTCAACAGGATGACTTACTTGGGACTCTTATCTGGTAGTGATTAAGTACTGTAAGAGCTTCCACTGCATCTGTCTTGCATTCCCACTCCAACAGACCAGAGAGTGTTTTGGCTGAAGCTGCAAAAACAAGAATTAAAATATTTTCATCTTTCCAAAACCAGTAAGTTCGGTTTTTTTTGAAGATTTAAAGAAAGGCAAAAATATTTACTTACGTTTTGGATCAAACACTTTGTATTTGATAAAAGACAGGACTTCATGATCATCACACAACTGGAACAATAACAAAATGATTATATGGTTATTAAATACAAAGCTCCATTCCTAAAGGTGTTCACAGTATAACTGGTATATGTGAGGTGTACCTGTAAGTGGCAAGTAAGTTCCAGACTAAGTCAACATGTACTCATTTTGTTGATATTAATGTGGGATATACCATGCAGCAAGAGGCAAGAAACTTACTCTTGCCACAGGCAAATGAAGCAATAGATCTGGCTTGAGTTCTATTGCATTGTAGACCCTTCTTAAAATCATACCAGTAAATCACTCATCAGTGAAAAAAGTTAATGTTTTAATCCACAACAGTCCTCTGCTGTGAAAGTTCTGTATTTAGCCATGATTCAAAATTGAAGATGTCGCATACAGACCAGATTAAGAAACTAAAAGGGCGTGTTTGTATTATACACTGCCACAGCTAAGGAACTGCACAAGAGCTGATATGGACATTGGCGAAACCAATCAGGCATGGCCAATACTGTGTTTCATCTGCAATAAGTAACTCCAGATCTGATGCAGGCATCAGCATTACGTCAATGATCACACAAGACAGCAGTGTGGATTTCGTGATTATCTATCTGTGCATAGGTGATGCACATTTAAATGAACCCACACATTTACCCTGTAGAGACAATGATAGAAACCAGGAAATGACTCAAAGAAAGGATTCAAGCAATATGGGAATGAATTGCACAAATTGAGAAAAGCTGAGACATTGGCTAAAAACTAGTCAAGATAGGCACTCTGTAATTTATACTTTCATAACTATTTAAATCCACTTGTACAGCGAAATATCCCCCACTGCCTAGAAATTTGAACTGCCCATTTAAAGCGCTTTACAGCAGGGGTGAGGAACCTGTGTGCTTCCCCCCCGCCCCAAATGTTATGGCCTACAATTCCAATGTTATGGGTAAGGGCCTACATTAGGTCTGCCCTTACCCGATGATGAAGATCATGGGAGCCTGCAGGCAAAAATATCTAGAGGAGCACAAGTTGCCTTCAGTTGCCATAGAGAGACCCTCTTGCTGTTCGTTTAATTTTGAAAACTACAGTACATTTCACCCAAGACAACAAAACATTTTTAGAGTTCAGCTGTATTCATAGTATGGTTTGTTAGTTACTTTTTAAATGGATGGCATGTAACAGTGCCATGCTGTACTTCTGAGTAAACATGTTTAATATTGTACTGTAAGTTATTTAAAAAGCGATTGAAGTCTATTTTAAGGAAGTTAATTGAGAATAATATTTGACTGTGGATTAGGGTTGCACTTCAAAAGGTAGAATCCAGCATTTTCTATTCCTACCTTTACAAAGGTCTCTTCAGTCACACAGAGTGGAACATTGTAGTAATGCAACACACAAGAAGGTGGCTGGATGATATTCTTGGATGCCTGGCCAGCACTGGTAAAGCGATTGTTCTTGCTCATTGCAAAATCTTTGTAACTGCTTGTCCCATCTTCCAGCTCAAATATCTGACTAGGAACAACTGAATGCTGTTTGGACACACTACAATTAAAGAGTACGTATTTAAGAACACCTTTTCACATTCAAATAATTTTAGGATATTTTTAAACCATTCTCAAAACAATGTGCAAGTGTTTACATTAACATGTTACTCTTTTACTCTCTGTGTACTCGTATATACAGACTGTATTCTTCCCACACACACACACACAAAAACAATAGCCTTGTTTAGTATCTTGAAGTTGAAGAATTTCAGATTATAGGTACTGCAGTATTTAATACATACCAAACATTAAGCCTCTTTCCAAATAATTTTACATTATTGAGATGTGTGACTGCTCTTTCAACAGCATATTCATCACCCATTTCCACTAATGCAGTTCCTGGAATAGTCTTCATAAACTTCACCTGCATTATTTTGAAGCAAAAAAAAGGAAGAGAGACAATATTGTTTAAAGAATGACAAGAAATTCTGAAGCTCTGGTTAGAAGATTTATGACCTTAGTTTGTTTTCTGCATAAATTTGTTATTCTACTGTTCTTTAAAATTAAAGAACATTTCAAGATTTAAAACACCTACTTTTTTACCTTTTCAATATTTCCATACAAACAGAACAGATTGAAGACTCTTGAGCAGTTCATCTTTTGCTGGTGCAATCCGCTGACCATGACCACAGAACCTGAGGGGTTCCCCCCATGCATGTAAGATGAGGAGGCTTGGGGAAGTGGATACGCAACCAGCTCCGGAGTATCCCGAGATGCCATTCTGTATCGGCTTGGTAGCGGTAACAGAGGACCATGTGAGCCTACAGGGAAAATACTCTATTTAATTTGGCCAGAACAGATTAATCACTCCAGTATGCACATTTAATATATCAGCTTGGAAAAGATGCCAGTTTTTCACTTCATAACTGGAACAACATATCTTATTTATATTTCACAAATTGTTAAAGTGAAGTTTTAGCTAACATCAGTTACTGGAACTTGTCAAAAGATAGTTAAAAATATGTAACTTCTTAATGCTAAAATTTCTGGAAATTTTCTGACATGCAACTCCCACCCCAAAAGCAAAACAAATCTACAATTTCTCTATTGAGCAAGGCCATGATGTTCAAAAAATGTTTGTTAGATAGTTTGTAGTTGGCAGCAATACCCTGGAAGAACAAACACTGAATCAGTTCCTGGAGAAAACCTGAACAGTTAAATGCTCTAGCTGAGAGTGCTGGAGCAGATATAAGAAAATCAACCAGGTGCTGATATAGTAAAATCATGCCATAAACCTTTTAGTTTTCCTACAGATGGGATGCACAGAATTAACATTAACTAAAACTCAGAAATCCATCTAGACAAAAACAACACCAAATATAATACCTACGCTTCCTCCTGCTCTTACTTCTCCAAAGTAGCAGGACAACTTGAGAGAATATAAGACCACAAAAGCCAACAGACTTAACTTCAACAAACTCTTAACAATTTAAATAATCTAATGATGTAGGAGCATGGCTTAACAGTGCTACTTAACCTCTTGTAAACTGCCCAGAACCTTTGGGAATGGGGCAGTATATAAAAATCAAAATAAATAGGTATACTACAAGTTTGAAGTTTAACTTTTAGAAAGATTAAAAAACAGAAACTTTGATTTGCTTTTCAAACAAAACAAACAATGCCAGTCCCTCTTGCAGCCACTGCCTAAGCAGAAAGCCAGGACACTCAACAACTGCTCTGATTGAAGGTAGGGCTAAAAAACAAAATGCTGCAATTGGTGTCTGAATGGTGTAGCAAGATGTTGAAAGTGCTAGCGCAACACAAGGGTGGGGAGTGGATCGAGACCTTGGGCTTTGCTTCAGACAGCAAAATGTCTTCAGCTGGCACTGAAGAAAAAAGGAAACAAAGAAAATATAGATATTTAAAGGGGGATTATACAGATCCAGGGAGGATAAGGATATTCCTGGCTGCTAGTCACGATGGTTATATACTGCCTTCAGTACAGATCATCAGTTGCAGGAGAACACAAGCAGAGAGTGTTATTTCACCCATGTCCTGCTTATGGACTTCCCAGAGTCATCTCTCTAGTCACTGTAGGTACAGTATGTTGAACTAGACAGGCCTTTAACGTGATCCAGCACCGCTTTTGAAGTTCTGATGTTCTCCTTATTTTCATAATAGAAATTTATGAACAATTCTTCAATTAAACACATTGGAAGCCATACAGCAACTTACCATAACCATCATGCCTAAATGATGAGGGATGTTCTCCCAAAATAGCTTGCCTCTGGCGACCTTTTCCTCTGTCTAAAGAAAAAAAAGACAGCATTAGCAATAAGCAAACAACACCCCCCATCAAAGGTACTGGAACTTGATCAGTAAGAAAAAAGGTGTTTTCCAGTTAAGACTGTAAGATGTGCCCCAAGGGTCCACTTACTCCAATATCATGATTCCAATAATAGCCAGCTAGATACTTCCAGGTAACTTTAAGGTATTACTTTTGATGACTATTTAAATAGACTTATTTTAACACAAAATTATAGTTGTAAGACACAAAAATTATTGTTAGCATAAAAATATTACATTTGAACATTCTTGACATTTTAAACCTAAGTAAACTGGACAGTTCTCTTAATATCACACAATACTATAGATAATACTGTAGAGAAGGAATTACCTATTAACTCTCATAAAAAACTAGTTGTAAATGCAGTACTTTCAAGGGACAGTACCTGAATCACACTATTAGCTTCAACAGCAACACAGATTCAAAGTGGGCTTCTTTCAAGAAGTTTCAGCATAATCCAACAACAACCTGTATTACATGGTTTCATAATCAGTAAACAGAGAGTACTATATTGTGTACATACATAATTACGCCAACAGCTATTAATGGAGTATGGTGAAAAAACAATACATTACTACACTAGTTATACAACCTATGTTAGAATTGCAATAAAATTGCACTTTTAAAAGCACTCTTAACAATGAAATGCTCTTTCAGCAACTGCATTTTGTACAAGAACATAAAGTTAACCAAGGGGTCAACACTACTGGACAAAAGCAGAGACCAACTTGAAGTATTTGTTTATAATTCTCCAGTAAATATTACAAGTGCTCTTACTAAGCAGCACCTAGCTTTGACCAAAATGCTGCTTCCTTTCATTGAGCAATTTGAAGGGCCAGTAACCCAGTTGACTACTAAGTAATGGGAAATGAGAAATATCCAGTCAAAGTAGCATCTGGTTCAATGGGAATGTCAAGTACAGATATATACATAGATATTTTCCATTGAAATCACTAGAATGTAAGAGTGCTCACTTTAGATGTTTTAAACTTTTTTTTTTTTAAGCCAGATGTTTTGTTAATGCAACCTTTTCAAAATGAAGGAATTAGGTAACGTGCTATAATTTTCTGAGGGAGAAGATGTGAAGGTGGAAATTATATCACCTTGAGGCTAAGTCATTATTTGGAATCAATCTCCACTGACTTCAGCAGAATTTACTGTTGTACAAGTGTGTAAAAGGTTTTTCCCACTGAGGAAAAAGCTACCTCTTAAAAAAGATCTTAACACCAGATTGATATTAGACACTAAAGGAAAAATTCTACATGTGTAGCCAAAAAATGGTCCCACAATTCCCAGCATGCCCCAGCCACCTTTCTGTGCCTAAACAGGCATAGGGCGATGTCCTAAGATACTTTTAATGGCTGTTATTAAAAGGTTATTTCCTTAGAATCAAAAGCCTTTACTGTTCCACATAATAGTAGTAATGACAACTATTTATGCTGAATACTGTAAATTGAGACAAACTCAAAAACTAGAATAGCTCATGAAGTTGTAGGACTTTGCTGAGTAAACTAACACATGAAGGAAATCTTATTTGCCACATGAAAGCTGCAGGTTGATGATGTGGAGGGTTTCATGAAAAATAATTCATTTTCATAAAGGGCTGAATTTTTTAAGAATGAATGTGAAAAGGTCTTATATGTAAGGTATAAAGATGCCAATGCTCATGGCATGCATTGAGGTGTTTAATTAAATGTGATTTTGTATGGTGAGCGGGGAGAATGTTATCTGCAGATGCTTCACATGCAACTGTCCTATGCAACAATGACTATAGCATACATGTTTTATCTTATATGGGAAGTCTATTAAATTTAACACATTAAGCATTTGAAACAGCTCAAAAGTTAGAAAGAAGTATGGATTTATGTATAATGAAAGTGGCTGACACATTTACATTAGACTCCCCAGCATAATGCTGTGGCATGGTGCTGAACCTTGAAATTGAAAAAATCAGGTTCAAATTGTCCAGTACTGAAGCTCAAAAGAGTTCTCCTTAGCAAAATTATTCTTTTAGCCTAATAACACTCACAGAGTTATGAGGCTAAAGAATTACTTCAAATGTCTTAGAAAAGGGCTGCAAATGTTAACACGATACATTAAACAATACAGCCATTAAAACTGCAATTTCTAAATAACTGACATTCACTAAATCTATTTTTTCTGTGTGAAGAAACCCAAATTGATGCCAATTGTATAAAAAGCATTCATACTGAAACCAGAATCCTACAGACTGGTTGATGGGGTGAGGACCTCAGACAATAAACTAAAAGGAGGGATGTTTCAATAATGTATGTACAGCAGCTTAACACAGCAACAATTTTGTGCAGGCCACTCTTGTGAGTACGCCAAGAAATGTTACATGTTTACGTGCATTCTCCAAGTTGAAGAAACTGCCCTCCCCTTGACATGTACTTGGTTTACAACATCAAAAAAAGGAAAATTTTTTAAAAAATCAAACATGTTCTCTGCTGCTTCACTAGAATGTCTGCAGATAGAAACCTTCATTACAGGCTGTCCAAGTTACAAATGTCCAAGTTACGGGCAACCCATACTTATGAATAACCTGCCATTAAGCATATTAATTTTTAAAAATTACATGAAAATCATCATCACCATAGAGAAAGAGAAGCAGTAAAAGGGGAGAGAGGGAGGCCTCCAAAGCATGCCTTCCTGTCCCACCCATCCAGAAGGAAATTTCTCTGGCATTTCCTTGCTGCAAAGAGATACTCATGGTTTTTCCACTTTCATGGGGGTCCTATGCCCCTAACACCTGTGACTGTGGAGGGCTGACTACATGATCCTACTTGCATACTAGTTATTTGACTTAAAGATGAATTTCTGTTTTTTCAGGAATGGAATTTGTTTGTAACCTGGGGACTACCTGTATATTGTTAACTTCCAGAAACCAAATCTGTACAATCCTGTTTGGAAAAAAAATGTAGCCTCCAGCTATTATTTCTTGGTCTAGGACAGTCTTCTCCAACATGCTACCCTCCACATGTGTTAAGACTATAACTCCCATAATCCTTGGAATATGGGGAGTTGCTTCAAACTGAGTCAGACCATTGGTTCATCTGGAATAGCACTGTTAACACAGTAAGAATCTTTCCTAGCCATATCTGGAGGTGCTGGGGATTGAACTGGGGACTTTCTGAGCTATAGCTCCTGCCCTCTGACCACACCGACTGGGGCTTATGTTGCCTGAATCAAAATATGTTGCCTGAATCAAAATTCCCAGGTCCCCAGGACCAAGGGAACTTTCTGCTTTTCAAATAATCCCAGTGCTACAATTGAAATTGAGATGATATTCAAAAGCTGTTTGCAATGGGGTCTGACATTCAAATGAGTTAAATGTCCCACTGGACACTGCCAAGTCCTTTGGTGTACCTGCTTTATTTTGCTCCAAGAAGAGATTTCTCATTTCCCATAGTTTCATGTATTGGGGCAAGATATAGTTTATAAATACTATCTGAATGTCTTCTAGTTGCCTGAATGTGCATTTACTTAGTTCAGAAACTTTACACTATTGATATTTAAGTGGCCCATTAATTTGAAACAAAATGTAAGCTTTAACATAAATACCAAGGTTGGACAATCTGCTAACCAATACTGCAGCCCCCTTATTAACCTTTTACAAATACTTAATTCTGCATGTCCAAAGCCTAAGTTTTAATAGTACATTTTTACAAGCCAAAGCACTGCCATTAAAAAATAACCTTTTAGCAATAGTTATAAAGCAAGTTGAAACCTTCACTTTCATGTTTAAAATTTAGAAGATACTCTACCTTGATAAGATAAGTTCCCAACTCCATGTTATAAATGCCTAGATTTTTAAAAAGTACATTACAGCAAATTATACACAAGCTATTTAGTTACAGAGAACATTTACAAAAGTCAGACTACATAGCAGCTTTTCTTTTACACTTTCATGCAATTGTTTTACTGATGAAAACAATGTTCCAACTAAGCTTTGCCATTAAAGTGTTCTGACAAATTATACCTTGCATCAAATACTGGAGCCTGATGGGACATGTTTGACAGGGTGCTGCTGAATCCCAATTAATCTTTAGATAAGTGCCGTCCTTTAGACAACATTTACACTGGAAAACCTAACTTCAATTTTCTCTTACATACAAAAATGAAAATTATGACAATGAACAGGAGAGAAACAAGAGTTTGGATTTTCCATTTTATGCAGTTTCATTCTACAACTGTAAATTTATAGACAAAAGATGGGAAACACGTGCAAGCTGGATAAGAATGGGTACAGTCTACCATGGTATTCATACCATGCAAACCAGAAGTATTATAAGTCTCCTCCTTGATATGCTTGTGGTGATGGTGCATGTTGTATGCAGTCAAGGTGAGTTGCAAGTCTGAGATTTTTCAGAGGGCCTTTTGATGATGCCGATGTGGTGCATGATGAAGTGTAGAGTCAGCCTGCTGGAGTCCTCTATCCTTCTTAATGCCTTGTCCAACATATGGGAAAATCCTTTCCATGGAGAAGCAGTGTGCAAGTTTGTAGTTTGTAAGGAATAGTCTGCATCAGTGTCCTCTCCTCCAAAGAGTGAGAGCTGCTTGGAGAAATGCAAGTCCTTTATTGCAAACATGCTTGCATGTGTGGGCTCCTTGTTGAACTAATAACTCAATATAACCAGCAGGGGGCACTATTGTTGAGAGTTATTCTTTTCCAGGATTACAGGATGCCTTTTACAACAGAACTTCACCAGCAATACTTGGCTTGAAATGACTACTGCATTAGACAAACTAACTGCATAAACTAGTTAAGCACGTATTTAGAATGATGACCGAAACACTTACCTCGTCTGCCTAGATATGGTTTAGTATAGTCCCAACTATCATTGTCATTTCGAATGACATTAAGTCGAGTTGGCTGTTAAGATATAAACAGACAGTGAGAATCATTCTTTTCCTCCCAGAGGAGTATAGAAGTTCAAGAAGGTGTTGAATTTGGAGGCATCATTACCCGTGCATATTCAATTTTTAGTGTACAGCATCCTGCATATATATCTGCCCCATTGAGTGCTGCTTTTGCCTTCTGGGCACAAAGAACAGATTCAAATGTAAGTTATGTTAAGGATATGTATTCAAACCAGTAATTTTCTACCCCCCACCCCTTACTAAGCAAAGAGGTAGTAGCCATTTTTAGACAAAAAGACCTGTGACTTGTTCTATAGTTCTAGAATGGACTGGAAACCACTTGTGGCATGGTTGAGTGTTAGACTGGGAGCCTGGGAGATCCAGGTTCTAGTTCCCACTCAGCCATAAGGCTCACTGGGCAGGCCAGTCACTCACTCTCAGCCTAACCTACTTCACAGGGCTGCTGTGAGGATAAATGGAGTAGAAGAGGACTGTGCAAGCTGTCTCAAGTTCCTCACAAAAGGAAAATAAGTTCGGATACATATGTAATATAATAATACTAATTGTAATAAGGCAACTCATATACAGCACTAATAATTTTGGAAATGAGCTGCTGTGCAAGCAATGTATGCTGGGCAGGAAAAAGCCATTGTGGCTTTTTTTTTCTTCTCTAGTCATGCAAAGTCAATTAGTATCCATGCTGTAAATCACTCAGGGACTCTTAAGCTATAGTCAGATAGTGAGGAACCATCCATTTCCATTTCCTGAATGAATGGTTTCAATATACTAGATGACAGACAAAACAGCCTGAAATAACTATCATCCACTTAAATTAATGTCGTATGTTAACATTTCAAACTCATGGTTTCTAAAATGTGTTCAACTTCAAAATAAGACCAATTTATGACCTGGTGTGCTGCTATGAGCACTACTTAGAATTGTCTAAACGTATAATGACCCATATCACCAAATAGGAACACTTAGATTATTTAATGCATCTCTATGATGCTCTTTCATCAGGAAATATAGATCTATTAATGAGACAGCAGAGAGACAGTGAGAAATAGCTAGAAAACCAGTCAGATGCTATGGACAGCTGATGAAAGCATAGACAGGGCCGGCCCAAGACATTTTGCTGCCTGAGGCAAACCAGAAGATTGTGCCCACTCCCCCACCTTTAACTACTTACTCCTAATTCCAGATCATTTATGAATAGGTTGAAAAGCATTGGTCCTAATACAGAACCCCATGGGGCTCCAGTAGTGACATAACTCCACTGGGGAAAATACCATTTATTCCCCTCCCACTGCCTTCTGTTCCTTACCAGTTAGTGACCCATAGGAGGACCCCCCCTTTATTCCATGACTGCTTTGTTTCTGTCAGAAATGGAACATACATTTATCCAGTCAACATGTGGGTACTTTAAAGTCCCCCATTATTCCACGACTACATTTGTAGGAGGCCTCCCTGATTTTATTTTCCATTCCAGATCACCCTAAGCATTCTGGGCTAGGACCATTTGGCTTAGTATAAAAAGGCAATACAAGGAGACATGTTAGAGGTATACAAAATTATGCATGGTCTGGGAAAAATGGGTAGGGAGACTTTTTTCTCCCTTTCTTGTGAGGAGAAAGGGAGAAAAAAGACATCCCATGAAGCTACATGGAAACAGATTCAGGAAAGATAAAAGGAAATACTTCTCACTGTAAAGTGTTAAACTGCCACAAGCTGTAGTCATGACCAACAATTTAGATGGCTTTAAAAGTGGACTGGACAAATTGAAGGAAGAGAGGGCTACCAATAGCTACTAGTTCTGGCGGCTATAAGCTGCCTCCAGTATGAGAGGCACTATGCCTACACCAGCTGCAGAGAATACAGGTGGGAGGGAGCTGTTGCATTAATGGTCTGCCTAGTTTCCCACACGCAGCTGGTTGACCATTGTGTGAAGACAGTGCTGAATCAGAACTTGGTCGGATACGGCATGACTTTTCTTACTTGCACAGCAGCTGCAAAAAGAGAGGACACATGCTCAGCCAAGGGATAACAGACATAATAAGAAGTGATAGGTTCACTGATTTCCTAGTAGAGTTGCTTGCCTGACTGGATGAAGATGAGAAGGATGTAGGTAGTGAAACATCTTCCCTTACTGAATCCCTGTGAGATCCCTAGTGGTAAGCGCCAACAAAACAAAAAGGCATAAAAAGGATATTCAACCATGGCTTGTATTCCATTCCTCTTGAATATGACAATACGCTGTACCTTCCCAACAGGGTTGCACACTGTATATAAGACATCCTACCAAAAAACAAAACCAAAAACAATCAAACCAGTTTAAACATTTGAAGCTTTGTCAGACAACAGCTCTCCAAAATGTAAAATGAAATAAAATGGCTTATCACTATTTAACTGGTAATTTGGATGAAGCCATGTAGGCTGACATATTTGTCTCTGGTACAGGATTCATTCACTTCTCTTCCCCCAAGTAGTTATGTAACTACAAAAGAAAAGCAGTCTAGTAAAAGATGAAACATCAAAACAGTGCAACTCAAAAGAACAAACCTAAATTCCGAGTTTATTTCCATGTGCTTTAAAAGTTTCGCTTTCCATTTAAGTTTTAACCTAATATGGTCACCTCTACATACCTCCTATAACACAGGGATACACAAAATGGAAACCAAATTATTTTAAAACTTTAAAGTATGAACTGAAAATGAAGAACTATAACCACAGTTGTTATAGCTCTATCACTGAACATATAAGGTTAGATATAGAAATTAACAAGCAAAATGCTGCTCATGCAACTGTGTTTTCCACCACAGATCCCTGTGGTCCCCAAAGTGAATCCTAAGGACCGAGGGATCTTTTGGAATGGAACATAATGAAACACAGAGGACTCTAGGGGAGTTTAGCAGGGTTGCCTTAATCAAGTCAAATAACTTTTCACTAGTGCAAAATATCTCTGAATCCATCGATTTTACTCAAGTGTTTAGGGGTCACATCTGTGCTCCTTCCCCTATGCAAAATATATAGAAATAGCTAGCTATATAGAGAAAACTAATTTCAGCCATCTACATTTTGGACAGAGAACGGACAGGAAGGCGTGTGAGATGCTGCCAGGTTATTTCATAACAGCCTTTCTCCTTTGCCTAGAAAAGCCTGCCTGCGAAGTCACATTTGCGACCCTGGAATCACCACTAGTGTCAACCACAAGTTTCCAAGGTCAGAGATGGGACTCTGAAAAATCTTATGGCTTTTTAGAACATATCTAGACGTAGAGAAAGATTTCAACTTAGAACTAATTGTTAGATTTTTTTATGAACAATGAAGCTACGAAGTGCTTTGCTAAAACTATACAACTGGCAAAGTCAATCATCAAAGAATATATATGAGAACCAAATTAATATCTAACTAAAAGTAAATGCTGCTGCACTGGACCCTTCCAAGTGTTCTTTTCCCTCTTCATAAATCAAATTACTCTGCAATAAAATGACAATATGCAAGGATGTTTTCACTGCATTGTTTTCACTGCACTGAGAGCCAGTGTGGTGTAGTGGTTAAGAGTCTGGGACTGGGACTCAGACGATCTGGGTTCTCGTCCCCGCTCAGCCATGGAGCCAACTGGGTGGCTTTGGGCCAGTCACAGACTCTCAGCCCAACCTACCTCACAGGGTTGTTGTTGTGGGGATAAGATGGAGGAGGAGAGATAATGTAAGCTGCCTTGAGCCCTTTGTAGGAAAAAGGCAGGATATAAATCAAAAAATAGATAAATAAAATTATAACATCACAGTACCACTGTATGAATGGTTATTAGTACAAGATACAGGATAGGAAGAACACACTTGGCACAAACACATAGAAACATGTAATGCACTAAAGTCACTGAAATTTTATGCTTAGAAATAAAACATACCACTGTAATTGGATACAGAGGATTCTGAATTGATAAGAGCAGAACCTTGTTCCCACCAGACGGGTCATCTGTGTTTCCTGGACGAGTAATTCTTTTGCTTGTAGAATAATTGAAAAATGCTTGTTGCCCAGCGATATACACTGGCTCATCTGCTGCAAACGTTACACACTTTTTGGCACTTTCAATATCCTCAAATTCTACCAAAGCTTGGCGCTTAAATGGCATCATCATAACATAACTACAAGAAAACAGCAACAAAAAACCCATTATTTTAAGACTAACAATTGTAAACTATAGGTCATGATCAACTGTAAAATCTTAGTGAAAACTGAAGAAAACTATTTTTATTATTAAAATAATTTTACTCAAATTTTATTTAAGCAACTTATTTATAGCCCTTAGCTAATCCCAAGTATAAATAATCCATTAAATGTTGATTATACAATAAAGGCAGCCAGGCAGCTTCTCATACTACTATATCAAATTGGCACCCTAAAAAACAAGGCAGGAAAATGTCTTCTTGATCTGGGCGATAATAGGACTGGGTTGCAGCCAAATCCTGTCCTTCTGAGCAACTGTGCATTTCTTTTTCAACAAAGAATTGAAAGCAATCAGCCACACATTGGCTGTATTTGGCTGATCAAAAAAGCAAAAAAAACAAACAAGCTTTCTGCACCCACACACCCCCCCAAAATAGAATGTACATTGCCCAAGACATAGTGCACATTAAACATACCATATGGTTCCAAACTTTTCAAGAGCCTCCACGAGGTCTGCCTCTACAACAGATTCACAGAGCCCTCGAACATGGACAACAGGAGAAACAGAAACTTTGTGGTGGCTGCCACCAGCATCCTAGCAAGAGCAATCATTTTGAAAAATTATTTTATGAAGATAAAGCAAAGAAGTACTTTACATAGTTCAAGCTTTAGAAAGTATTAACAGAAAACTACATGCTTTTCAGTGTATTTCTTCTTATTTAATTAACTTCAATCTTTAATATTACTTGCAAGCTCTACATTTAATTCTACTGACACATTTAATTAGTACAATTCCCACATCCACAGATTAAAGTACTTTTTAAAAGTATTTAACAGATAGCATGTTACTGCCCATATTACCACTTGAGTTGTGCAACAAAGGCTATGATACAGGTAAAACAGTATCATTTTTGTTCATATATAGTTCTGCAGTAAAAATGTATGCACATTCTTAATGTAACAATTTATCATAATGATGCATACGTTTGAAACTATACCAAGTTATATGGTTAGGGAAATACAAGGTGCCAATTTTGGGTTTGTAAGATTCAAAGTAGTGGTAGATATCATTCTAAACATCTATTGCACATTCAAAAAGTTCAAAGCTCAACATTATCAAACCATTAAACTGTACCAATAAAAAGAGATTCAAACACATTATTTATCTCATTCTAACATATGATGAATCTACAATCAAAGTTTTACCCATTTTAACCTTTTCTTTATAATCTCCACATTTCGAAAAGCTCTTAATTCTTGTCACCAGGGCTCATAAACTGTTTAATGTTGCACAAAAGCTCGTGTGCGCTTCAGCTCTCTAGAGGCCTTATGGGTTGGATCCAGATTTGGTCATGCTTAAAAGTAGACCTATTGGAATTAATGACACATAATTCATGACTAGCCTGTCCTACTGATATCAATGAGTTTATTCAATGCATAACTAAATCTGGATCGATTCCTGTAACTCCTTCAGTTCAAGGAAATGACATGCATACATACATAAATACACTCCCTGCAAGTGCTGCAACTAAAGAAAGCTTCGGCTCTTGCGGCAGTAATAAAATAAATAAATAAATAAATATGGAAGGAAGGAAGGCTGATTCACACCAAACTAGTTTCTTTGCATCCAATCATACCATTTTGTTTTGCAGGGAAACAATACAAGAACTTATTGTTCTGCATATCCCATGCAGAAAGGTTACTCTTCTTGTTCATTAGAATAAAAACAAGTGCAATAATGGAGGAAAGTAGGTTGCAATGCTCAGCTTCCACCCACAATCGTCTTCTTTTCGAGCAGGAAGAGGGGAAAGAAAGATTAAATTAGAACGAAAGAACGATGTAGTTCATATTTCTCTGTTACACCAAAAAACACAAAGGCGAGAAGTGTCAATGCCGAACCTACCTCTTCCCCTAATTTTACCGGAGGTGAAAAGAGCAAATGTTCATCTAAGTCTTCCTGGAGGAAACCATATTTACCCAGCTTCAATTTTGTGGTACCAAACTGACTGAACAAATTGAGGGCCCACGACTCATCCCACAAAATGATCTCTCTGGCCCGCAATCGCATCAGCTATAATCAAGCTACTCAGAAGTAAACTGCACTGCCTGCTATGGGGACGTACTTCCAGGCTTGCAGGCTTTAAAAACACTTAGCTTTAACAGATTAATTATTCCGTAAACATACTCAGTTTTCTTCTTCATAGAAGAAAAAATAAGTAAAATAAGGTCTTTTTTTTAAAGGAGAGAACCCTTTCTCTGCTTTCCTAGCAGTAAGGTCAAAGAGAGCCAACTGAGGAATCCAAGTGTTAAGGGTGCAATCCTGTGTATGTTGCCCTGCGAGTAAGCCAGGCTGAAGGCTTACTCCCGAGTAGACGCGACGAGGCTCGGGTTGCGCATCGTCGGCCGGCCGGATCCGTCCGTCCTTCGCAGCGCATCCCACGACCGGCGCCGGGGTTACAAAGGCGGGCGCTTGACGCCTGCTCCTCCTCCTACTCACCCCTCCGGAGAAGCCCCCGGCGCGAGGGGCGGCCTTCTCCCTGCGGCTGTCGCCCTCCTCGGCCCCGTACTCGATCTCGCCTTCCTCGGCCGCGGCGCTGGGCTTCAGCCGCTTGGCCTGGCTCTCGTAGGCGCCGTCCTCCTCCTCCTCGTACTGCTCCCCCGACGACGGCGAGGACATGGCGGCGGCGGCGGCTTCGGCGAGGGCGCTCCGCGTGGGGGCTCCGCAGCGGGCGCGCGAAGGAGGTGCAGAAGCCCACAAAGCGAGTCCGCCGCAGATACGCTCCGGCAAGACAAGACGAGACAAAACCGCAACGGCGCGCACACGCCTGAACATACACATATACACAAACGCGCTCCCAGAGACGGCGTGGAGGAGGGGCCGGGCAGCTCCCAGCCTGCGATTGGGTCGGCTCGTCGGAGGCGGCGCCGTGATTGGCCAGCAGGGAAGCTCCTCATAGACTCCGGGCGCGCGACTGGAGCGAGGGAACGTCTCTCACGCCGGGATAAATCCTCTCTTCCCGGCGCCTCCCGCTCCCTTTCCCATCGGCTGGCGGGTGGGCTCGTTGAGAAAGAGGGACGCGGGCGGCGGCGGCGCGCGCTCACCGTTAGGCGCGCCGCCTGCAGTGGGCCGTGCTCAGCGAGAGGAGAGTTGGTGGTGGTGTCCAAAAGGGGGGCTCCCGCTAAAGTGGGGTGGCAGGAGGCGGCAGTAAGGCCGTTCGCCGTACATGGGTAGTTTTTGGAAGCGGGTGACGTCAACGGCTTCCTTTAAGGGAAGGTGCTGCTTACTTGGGCTGCGTGCGATTGAAGTACTTGCTTAGAGTAGAACCCTTAAAAATGCACAGAAACGTAGATGAGACCAACAACCCGTTGGAAAACTTCCCTCGTGGAGTTGCTTTGGCTGGGCGTACAGACCTATGAGGACAGCTCGTGGTACGCGGTTTGAAAGAATAGATTATTAGTATCCAGTAGAGCGGTCACAAAGAGGTGAGCGAGCTTTAAGAGTCTTTTCAGGGTGGGTGCTTTGTACTCCAGAAATGGAAGTGGGGTGGAGAAAGAATGTGGCTGGTCAAGATAGAAAGGGGAAAAATTACGGTTCGTAATCTGGAAAACCGAAGGGGGAAGTGGCATTAGAGAAGTTGCGGTACAAGTACATGCATATTTACTTAAACATAACTGGTGCCTTTCTTTGAGCAAAACTCACTGGAGAAGATAGTCGTGCTAGGGAAAGATGAAAGCAGAAGAGGAAGACTGAATATGAGATCACTCGATTCCAGAAAGGAATCCACAGCCATGAGTTTACACGAGCTGAGCAGGGTTGGCTTTTTGGAGGGCATTAATTCTTAGGGTTACCATAATTTTGAGGTGACTTGACCTCAGGCAATAACAAGAGTCATGCATAGGTTTACAGCCCTACATTAGATTAGGCCAGGCCTGGGCATTGTACGGCCCAGGGCCACATCCGCCCCGATGGCTGACCCTGACCGGCCCGCATGAGGTCACTGGCAAATTAAAAGTCAATGCAAGTATATATCGTCGTAATATATATGCAAGCAATACAACTGCACTGCTTTTATTTCAAAGGATCTGCTAAATTAATGCTTTTTCATGCCTACTTTCCGTACTTTGCAGAAGGATTATGCACTGATTTGTTTGTTGGTTAGCTTCAGCCCATGAAGATGTCAGCTAACACCAAAAAAAGAAAGATCAATTTAGAATGTAGAGTTTTTAACAAGGTATGGACTTCCAAGTATTTCTTTACTGAAATCAGAGGCAAAGCTGTATGCCTAGTTTGTGGAGAACAGGTCACGGTGCTGAAGGATTATAATCTGAATTAACATTACAAGATCAAACATGCAGAGAAGTACAAACATCTGACTGATGCAGAGTGGACACAGACATCTGAAGCTTTGCTAGCTAAAGCAGCAGTCAAGACGAGCTTTCTAACAGCCTACAAAATCGCCAAAAAAAGTAAGCCATTCTCTGATGGGGAGTTCGTCATAGAATGCCTGGTGGACTCTGCAGCGTTTCTATGCCTGGAGAAAAAAGAAATGTTCGTTAATGTGCCCCTTTCCAGGCGAACCGTAACGAGGAGGGTGGAGAGCATAGCAGAAAATCTGGAGCTTCAGCTGCAAAGCAAAATGGACAATTTTGACGTTTTCTTCTTGGCTCTGGATGAGAGCTGTGATGTCCATGACACAGCCCAGTTACTCCATCTTTGTACGTGGATTAACTATAAAGTTTGAGATGACGGAGGAGCTGGCAGCTATGCGACCGATGAAAGGGACCACGACGGGGAGTGATTTGTTCACAGAGGTACATACCTGCATGAACAAGCTGGGACTAAAATGGGAGAATTTGGTCGGTGTTACAACTGATGGCTGTCCAAATTTGACAGGGAAAAATGTCGGACTTTTGAAGTGGATGCAAGATAAAGTGACTGAAATAAACCCCGAGCAGAAACTGATATTGTTGCATTGTATTATACATCAGGAGGTGTTGTGCAAGTCAGTGCTAAACATCAAACACATGATTGATGTTGTAACTAAAGTTAACTTCATCAGGGCAAGAGCACTTAATCTCAGTTTGTTGTCTTTTTGGAGGAGCATGAGAGTGAACCTGGTGACCTTGGTTACCAGACAGCTGTCAGATGGCTCAGCCTGCGCAAGGTGCTTAAGAGAGTATGGGATCTGAGAGCAGAGATTCAAGAGTTTTGTGAGAAGAAAGGCAGGGACATCACTGAGCTCTCAGATGCAGACTGGATGGCAGACCTTGCTTTTGCTGTTGATGTGACTGCACTGATAAATGAACTAATTACCAAGCTGCAAGGCAAGGGCCTCTTTGCACATGAAATGTACAGCCTGGTGACAGCTTTTATGAGAAAGCTGAAATTTCTTTCAAGCCAATTGGAGGGCAACATTCTTACCCACATGCCCACACTGAAGGAAGTCACACCATCAGCTGATCACCTCCACAGGTACTCATCCATATTGGGGGCACTGCATGCTGAATTTTCAAGACAATTTGAAGACTTCAAAACAGTTGAGAGTGAAATGCACATGATTTCCTCTCCCTTCAGCTGCAGTGTGAATACTGCACCCGCGATGTCCAGCTTGACCTCATTGATCTGCAGTCTGATAAACTGCTGGCCGAGCACTTTAAGTCAGTATCACTGCTGACTTTTTATTCTTCTCTCAAAGAGGAGAGCTGTCCAAAGGAGGCATGCTCAGAAGATGTTGGTTCTCTTTGGATCCACTTACATATGTGAACAAACATTCTCAGTGAAGAAGTTCAACAAATCCAGATACAGATCCTCTCTAAGTGACGATCACTTGGGTGCTGTTCTTCGCATATCCACCACAGATATTCAACCTGACTTCAGTGCACTTGTTGAAGCCCAAAACAGACTGGATTTCTCTCAATGAACAACAACAACAAAAGAACGGAGGTAATGCAAACAAACTAAGCTGGATGCATTTATAGGGAATCCAAAGGCAACTTGGATTGTTGAGTTTTCTGTTTCTCTGTTCTGTTATAATTTGTAAGGTCTGTACCTTACTATGTTAAGCGCTGGGAGATTACATATGTTGTAAATTTGCGCTATATAAGTAAAATTGAATTTATTGCTTTTCATGTAATGTTAATGTTTTTGTGAATATTCATTAAATAGTGTTGTTCTGTGCTCCACATTTTCATTGTGTTATTGTAATGTTTCATTTACTATTTTTATAGAGATATATATTGAGCAGAGCTGTAAGTGTGTTGGTCCGGCCCTTAACAACTGTCAAAGTTTCTCATGTGGCCCCATAGGAAAATTAATTGCCCACCCCTGCATTAGGCCATCATGCTAGGTGCAAAATATAGTCTGATTATGATTCTTCAGTCCTGTGGCTTTTTGTTGCAACCCTTTTATGTCAAACTTGACCTAATTTAATGAAATCTGCAAACCTCTCAACACTCAGAAAAGTACTGTTGAATACAAAATGTTTCTTCCGAGCAAACTCACCTAGAATTTAAATAGCTCTCCACTATGTATAGGACATAACAGTACGAAGGATTTTTTAAAACTCTTGTTCATACTCTTTTTCTCCCCACTCCTTGTTGTATGTGATTATATTTTACAAGCTTTAAGACTAATATACTGATCATGAACCCCTTGATAAGTGATTTCAGTGTGGAATGCTTAGATTGCAAGCGCCATAAATTGCTGCTTTAAAAATAGTACAAGAATTGACTTGCTAGCTCAGACTGATGTTCACCTAGTCTAGAGTGCTGCCTCAAACAGTGGTCAGCTATCTGTCTTTTAATGAAATGCAAGCAGGTTACCTGACTGAGGAAAGATGGCCATGCTTCTTCAGTATGGACAAAGGAAATTTTTGTTTGTTTATAACAATTATGCACCATCTTTTGCTTCAAGAGCCCAAGTGGCCATGTAATCCTTGCAACTTTGTCATCTTGAAAATCCTGTGAGCGGGGCTAGGATTAGAGTCAGTAATTGGCCCAAATTCCAGCTGTGCTTCATGGTCAAATGAGAATTTGAACTCAAGTCTCCGCAGTCTAGTCCAGTACTAGCATTCTAAACCACATTGATTTATTGCTGAGATGATAGAATTTTCAGAAAGATTCATATTTGGAAGTGACCCAAAATAAACTATTTGTTCAAAACTCAAAGCATGCATATAGAGATTTTTAAATCTAGAGAGGGCAAAACTACTTGATTTTGCCACAGCCTGATTTCATCTTAATACTATTATATTGTTGTATTTCTTGTGGTGATGGAAATCCCCAGTTGCATATGTGATTTAACGTAAAATTTGATCTTCACAATGTTTGGAATCTTCACAATGGCAGTTATTTTCACCTCCATTGGATACAGAGGAAATTATGAACACAGTTACACGTATGAATACTGGGAAATTAGCTCGCTCAGATGGGTATCTAACTGAATGGTATAAAACATT